ACTTCCGTAGTGATACTGCCTTGGAAACCCAAGGAGGGGTCGCTATGAGTCGGGTTTGACTCGACGGCACATAACAACAACAACAACAACAACAACTGCTCCTCCTGCATTACAGGACTTAGGTGGTCTTTCTTTTTTCTGAAGCCCCCATGAAGAGCACACTTGCCTCTAAAACAAATGAGGATGTGTAATTTAACACTGGCACTCACCGTAGCAATTTTTGTAATATACTTAAAAAAGAAAAAAAATTTTAACCTCAATTTCTCACTTTTGTTTTAGCTTATGACAATTTAACTGCCTTATAGACATGGTAGAACAATACCTCACTCTTATCTAGTTAAATTGTTCCAAGTTGGGAAGAACCAAACACACTTTGGCAAAACATCTGATAAGCAGGAAACTTTATGTGGAAAAAGCTATTTGCTTCCAGACTCAAAAATTCTGAGAAAGATGCTAAAATTGTGTTACAGTATGTAAGTTTAAGGGTTGTTCTATGTTCATCCAGTGGATCAAGCCAAGACTAGTAAGTTAAACTTTTGACTTTGTGGTTTATCCTAAAAAACTGTTCAGACTACAGCTCTCCAATAAAAGAATGGCATTCCTTTTTCATGCAGGGAACAACTTCTTCTCATTGGTCTTTTAGGGGAAGGATAATGTGTCATGGACCCTCAAGCATCAAGCACTCTGCTTTGGGTAGGAGACTCACACTCATCACCTCTTTTGTTGCTTCCAACTTAAAAATTCTGTATTCACTGAAATCACATTAACTGAATTGTACATTCCACAGAAACACCTTCTATCTTCTTTAGGCTATTTGAAATGCCTTCCTACTCAACTACGTATGTATACATTGATGTCATCAGCTCCCATTGAATGGGTCCCCAACTCATGGCAACCCCATACACAACAGAATGAAACACTGCTGCCTGGAACCTGTGCCATCCCCATGATCAGTTTCATGTTGGACTATTGTGATCCACAGGGTTTTCATTGACTGAATTTTGAAGTAGATCACTAGGTCTTTCTTCCTTGCCTATCTGACAGCTCTGCTGATACCTGTTCTGCATCATATCAACTCATAAGCCTGTTATCATAGAAAGGTGGTAGCTGTGCAATGAGGTGCACTGACCAGGAATTGAACCCAAGTCTCCTGCAGGGAACTGGGAGAGATTCAAACCAGATTCAGAACATATGGAATGAGGGAATAGGGAATAGGTGCTGAGGTCAGATGGATCTTGGCTGAAAGCAGAGAATACGAGAAACATGTTACTTTTGTTTTATTGACTATGCAAAGGTATTTGACTGCGTGGATCATAAGAAGTTACAGGTAACATTGTAAAGAATGGGAATTCCAAAACACTTAATTGTGTTCATGTGGAACCTGTATATAGAGATCAAAAGGCAGTCATTTGAACAGAACACAAGGTTCTTCATGGTTTAAAATCAGTTAAGTTGTATGTCAGGGTTCTATTTTTTCACCATACTTATTCAATCTGTATGCTGATCAATAATCCAAGAAGCTGGGCTATATGAAGAATGTGGCATCAAGATTAGAGGAAGACTCATTAACAACCTGCAGTTTGCAGCATATGACATTACGTTGCTTGCTGAAAGTGAAGATATGAAGCATTTATTCATGAAGATCAAAGACTACAGCCTTCAGTATGGATTATACCTTAACATAAAGAAAACAAAAATCCTCACAACTGGACCAACAGAAAACACATTGGAAGTGACAAGGACTTCATCTGACTTGGCTCCACAATCACTGCCCATTTAAGCAACAGTCAAGAAATTAAATGGCATATTGCATTGGCAAATCTGCTGCAAAAGACGTCTTTTGATTGTTAAAATGCGAAGATGTCACTTTGAAGACTAAGGTGCACCTGACCCAAACCATGGTGTTTTCAGTTGTCTCAAAAGCATGTAAAAGCTAGACAATGAATAAGGAAGACTAAAGCATTGTGGCAAAGAATATTGTTTCAGTGTGCCATGGACTGCTAGAATGACAGATCTGTCTTGGAGGAAGTACAACCAGGATGCTCCATAGAAGCAAGGATGGTGAGATTTTGTCTCATTTTAGACATTATCAGGAGGGACCAGTGCCTGGAGAAAGACATCATGCTTGATAGAGGGTTAATGAAAAAGAAAATGAACTGAACACCAACTCAAACAATGGAGTCAAGCTCGGCAGTGATTGTGAGGATGGCGAAGGACCAGGCAGTGTTTGTTCTGCTGTACAAAGGGTTGCTATGAATTGGAACTGATTTGACAGTACCTAACATCAGCAACTCCCACACAGGAGAGAATTCTACCACTGAACCATCACTGTCTTCTCTCCATGTATGTGTGTGTGTACATTACCACCAATACCATGAGCTCTGATGTAGATCATGTCATTTGTGAAATTTAAGAGATTTAAGCATATCCACATAATTTTAGAAAAGAACAGTCCTAAAGGTATTACTGGCACATCATTCAAAACTTAAACCCTGATGACCAACTAAATTTAATAGTATCTCTGCTCTGTAAGATGGCTACATACAATTTTACAGAGAATCCATGGGATCTCAGCAAAAGGAAAAGAAAAAGGGCAGCAAGGACAGGCTTCTCTTAGAAAGAATGATCAAGTTTTGAGTTCTTATCTGAAAAGCATCTCAGTTCCATCAGAGTAACATTTCTCATGCTTATGGAAAAAGAACCAAAATGGCCTTTAAAAATATATATACATATATTTTTACAAGAGGTTTTGAATCTGTCAAATATTTTGGTACTTAAATCTTTTACTGTAGGCTGACTTTTATGATTCCCTGTTTCATAAGGATAAGTCTTGTCTCTTTGGCACCATCCTAGTTCTGTAAGACCAGGAAACTCAAGTACCATTCCTTGCTTCATCACTGACTTGTTGAATGACTCTACATAAATCACTTACTGAATGACTTGAACTCTGTGTTAAAAGGTTCACTGACAATAAAATGGAGCCCTGGTGGCACAGTGGTTAAAGAGCTTGGTGGCTAACCTAAAGATTGATGGTTTGAACCCATCAGCTGCTCCACAGGAGAAAGATGTGGTAGTCTGCTTCCATAAAAGATTTACAGCCTTGGAAAAATCGATTAGATGGCAGTGGGTTTTCTGGCCAATAAAATTACCTCAGAGAAGCTATGTGGCTCTCATAGCACAATGAAAATACATTGGAAAATATGAGTAGGACACAGATATGAAGTTTCATGTACTTCTGCATATAGCATGACATCTGTCCAGCATTAAGTTGGCAATATGTGTTGATCCCATTATAGGCAAAGCAAAAGAACTTTTAAAAAAACAGTTTATCTCATTTCTTTTTTTTTTTTTTAATTACACATTCTTCCTCAGATAAGACACACAATCTACTCTCTTCTGAGGGAGGTATTGGTCCCTGTAGTGCCTAAGGAGAAGGCCACAAACACTCCTGGCCAAAGCATGAGAACCCATGCTTTGTCTTTTCAGTCTTGTAGTATCTGCAGGGCTGAAGTCTGTCCATACACATCCATCAGCCCCATGCTTGCTCTGTGTGTCATGAGATCTGTGTGTCCTGAGGACCAACATAGCAGATGATAAATTCACTGGTGGTACTTTCAATCAGCACGGTAAGTCTTCCTTTTGGGGTCTATCAGGATGATTAGACCCCAAACTGCAAAGCCTAGGGAAACAAAGGAACCTTACATGTATGTTGCATTTTAGTTTACAAAGTACTTTCACATATGCCACCTTATCTAACCCTCAGAAAAATGCTGTAAGATTTATTACCATTACCTGTTTCTTACTGGAAGAGGAAACTGAAACTCAGAAAGTGAAAGAGTTCAGGGAAAAAAAAAAAAAAAGAACATCCTGATACTTCCCTAAGTAAGAAAGGAACTGAACAAAAGGCATCTGGGCAGTCTGGTTAAAATAAGAAATCTGAAACCTAGTATTTTACTTCCTGAGACCGGTTTGAAAAGTTAAAAAAATCACTATATTTTAAAACGGAAAACCTCGTGACAATCACTTAGGAATGCTACAGATAAGGACTTGGGGCCGCATTACCCATTATCCAGTGGCATACCAACTAGGCTTTGAAGCTATTTCTGAGATCTGACTTCAGATCCCAATCTATCAAACCAAGGTCAAGTGCCCTCCTTTGGGCTTTCTTCAGGCTTTGGAGAAATGCATGGGCTTCAGCTCCCTGGGATCAAAATCCAGTTGTCATTTCCTGCCTGCCTGACCTTGAACAGGATAAACTCTGTGACTTCGTATGCTCAGCAGTCAAATGGAAATACTGTGGTCTCATTTTACTACTCTAATAGCTGTCAGGAAGATTAAATAGAGGCTAAGACAAGTTGTAAAATTATTACAATGAAAGCAAAAGGAAATCCAACAACTTGCTCTCCCCCTTACGCACTCTGGTTGGGGTATCCCCACCACGTGACCAACCCGAACGCCCCGCCCCCTGTTCCCGTGGCCGCGCCCCGATTCTCACTGAGGCCGACGACCATCTGCATAATAGTCCCTGGAGTTGAGCCGTATCCTTGCTTCAGGGGCTTCTGTGCCTTCCAGTAGACGTACCCTCCCGCCCCGATCAGCCCGGACGCGGAGAGCAAGCGACAGCTCCAGCAGTTATTAAGCTGCGGGCCTTGGGCCGGAGAGGTCGACACACCGGCTGAGGAGAGGGACGCGGGAATGGCGGGCGCGGTAGACTCAGCAGGCGCAGCGACCTTTCCCAGGTCCACAGGTTGGGACGTGAAAGAACCCATGTTCAGAGACCCTTCAACGTCAGGAGACTTGGCACTCAATTGACGTAAAAGCTGCAGCTGGAAAGCAGAGCGCCAGAGTCCTGTACCGGAAGCTGCCTGGAGGGCGATGGGAAATGTAGTTTTCGCTTGCCTCGGAAGGAAAAGATGAAGGCAACCTGCCGGGGTGGGTTTGGACCTGCCAAAGGCCCCATTCTAGGAATTTTGACTTAGCCAAGAACCTCAGTCTCTCACTCTCAGTCCCCTTGGAGGGGAAATCTGAGTTTTTAAAACTGCCTAGCACAAAATATGAGAGCTTAGGGATGTCATTTCACCTGTCTGAAGGTGAGAGACTCAAAACAATTTATAAATTTATAGAAATCAATACCTCAACATCAAAAAAAAAAAAAAAAAGGATATGAACAGACACTTCACTAAGGAAGAATTTAGGCCCTCAACAAACACATGAAGAAATGCTCATGATTGTTAGCTATTAAAAAGATTCAAATCAAAACAACAAAGTTATATCATTTCACCCCAGTAACAACAGCAAAGTTCGAAAAAATAAAAAGGGAAAACATAAATGCTGGAAAGAGTGTAGAGAGATTGCAAGTCTTTTGCATGCTGCAGGGACTGTAAAATGGTGCAACTACTGTGGGACACAGTAGATGCTTTCTTAAAACATTGGAAATAGAAATACTGTTTGATCCGTCACTACTAGGTATATATCCTAGAGACATAAAAACCATGACACAAATAGATATATACATACCCGTGTTCATTCAGCATTATTTGCAATAGTAAAGAGATGGAAACAACCTAACTGCCCATCAACAGATGAATGGATAAACAAACTATGGTACATAAACACAATGGAATACTATGTGACATTAAAGAATAAAAAAGAATCCACAGAATATACCTTATTATAGGTGACCTGCAGGACATTATGCTGAGTGAACTAAGTCGATCATAAAAGGCAATTGTATGAGACCACTATTATAAAAGTCAAGAAAATGTTTATACACTAGAAAGAAACATTCTTTGATGGTTACCAGGGGTGAGAGGGGGAAGAATGAATGATAAATCACCAACTACAGAGTAGACACATATTAACTGGGGTGAAGGAGAAGGTAATATACAAAAAAGGGGGTGTCAGCACAATGTGACCAAAGCAAAGGAAGGCACTGGGGTGTGCACAAGAGTAAAAGACAATAAAGGTAAATACTATTACTCACACAATCCTGCAACAATAGTAATGACAATATCTATGAGTAGATACATAGGTAGACATGAAAGTTGAACATATTTGGGAAGATGAATGGAAGTACACTCATGAGTATATACAGGTTTGGCAGAGGATATTTCTACTACATGTATGCTTCTTTTATAAATGTACTCATATGTGCTGCATATGAGTTTATATACATATATGTATATATATAAAATCCCAATCCCTGTACATGTGGATATAATCTCATCCGGGAATAGTGTTTTCATTGTTGTGTTGATGAGGCTATATCAATGTAGGGTGTGTTTTAACCAATCACTTTTGAGATATAAAAGGAGCAGTTTAGACACAGAAGCAAGCAAGTACAAATGGAGGGAAAGATAAATGCTACATGAAGAGCAAGCAGCCATGGAGCAGAAGCTGGAAAGAGACAAGGACTTTCTTCCAGAGCCAACAGAGAAAGGCTGCCCTTAGAGCTGGTGCCTAAATTCAGATTTCTAAGCTCCTAAACTGTGAGAAATTAAATTTATGTTTGTTACAGCCATCTATTTATGGTATTTCTCTTATATCAGCACCAAGAAACTAAGACAAATGAATACTCCCTACCTCTTTCTATGAAGCCGTTATTATCCTGATATCAAATCCAGACAAGGACACTAGAAGAAACAAATTACAGAACAATATACCTTAGAATAATATAAAAGAAGAAATCCTTAACACAATACTAACAAATGAATCCTAAAAGCATAATTACAAGAATTCACCATGATAACTTAGATTTATTCCGGGAATGTAAGGGTGGTTCAACGTTAGTAAGTCAATCAATGTATACATCACGCTAAATAAGCAAAAAGAAATACATCATCATATCAGTTGATGCAAAAAAGGAATTTTGAAAACTCTAATTCTGAGAATGGTAAAAACTCTCAACAAGAATAGAAGAGAAGTTCCTCAAAATGATTAAGGGATTTATGAAAAACCAATCGCCAACATGATAATAAATGGAGAATGATTGAGAGCTTTCCCGATAAGACTGGGAACAATACAAGGATGCCTGCTGTCACCATTGCTATTAAATACAGTATTGGAAGTCCTAGACAGACAAATAAGGCAGATGAAAGATACTCAAATTAGAAAAGTAGTAAAATGATCTCTCTTCACAGTTGATATGATGCTATATATAGAAAATCACAAAGAACCCAAATTCACACACACAAAAAAAATAGTAGAATTGATACAGGAATTCAGCAAGTTTCAGGATACAAGGTCAACACACAAAAATAAGTTGGGTTTCTATACACCAGCAATGAGAAATGTGAAAAAGGAATATAAGAAAACAATTCCATTTATAATAGCACCTAAAAGAATAAAATATTAGGAATAAAGTTAATCAGGATATGAAAGAATCATACAATGGAAATAATAAAACTCCATTGAAAGAGATTAAAAAAGACTTAAATAAATAAAAATATACTCTATGTTCATTGATGGAGGGGTTAATATTATTAAGATATTAATTTTACCAAAGAAGCTCTGGTAGCATAGTGCCTAAGGTACTTGACTGCTAACCAGAAGGCTGGCGGTTCAAACCCACCAATCACTCCTCAGAAGGAAGGTTAGGCAATCCTACTTCTGTAGTGATACTGCCTCAGAAACCCAAGGAGGGGTCGCTATGAGTGGGGGCCGACTTGACAGCACATAACAACAACAACAACAATTTTACCAAAACTGATCTATAGCTTCAATGCAGTCCCAATCATATTTCCAACAGCCTTCTTTACAGAAATGAAAAAAAAAAAATCCTTAATTTTAGATGGAATGGCAAGAGGCCTGAATATCCAAACCAATTTTGAAGAAGAAATAAATAACAGAACTCACATTTCTTGATTTCAAAATATAGTCTACAGCAACAGTAATCAAGAGTCTAGTACAGTTACGACAGTAGACACATAGACCAACAGAATAGAATTGAGAGTTCAAAAGTAACCCCACACACCTGTGTTCAACTGATTTTTCTTTTCTTTTTTTATAAAAGACAGTATTTTGGTTTATTTAACTCATTATAGTGATTTGAATGCAAGTTTGCAAAGCAAATAGGGTTTTTCATCAAGAGTTCATAGGAATTTTGTTTCATGACATTGATTGCAGTCCCCACCATGGACCAGCAAACCTCCCACTTCCTCCCTGTGTTTGCCTTTTCCATCATCCTTCTTTCTTATTCTTTCCTGCCTTCAGAGGGTTACCCTGGACAAATGCTGCCCTTTTGATCTCCTATGGTTAACTATTTTAAATTGTGCATACTTCCCTTGTGTTACTGTCCACCTTGAAGAAAAATTGATGCTTTTGCATTGTGGTGATGGTAAAGAATGTTGAAAGTACCATAGACTGCTAAAAGAACTAACAAATGTGTCCTGGAAGAAGTGCATCCAGAATGCTCCTTGGAAGGGAGAATGGCCAGACTTCATCTCATCTGCTTTGGTCATGTTGTAAGAAGGAACTGGAGAAGGATATCATGCTTGGTAAAGTGGAGGGTCAATGAAAGAAGGAAAGGTCCTCAACAAGATGGATTGACACAGTGGCTACAACAATGGGCTCAGGTATATTGCAGTGTAGTAAATGACCTGGTATGGCTTTTCTAGCCATAAGTCTTTGTAAACTCAGTGTTGGAATTTGCCAGTGAGCAACTGAGAAGCTAATGATTGTAAAAATCATTCACCTGGGGTATTTCTGTTGTGAGCAGCATAAAGCAATGTTATGGGAAGTTCACTCCTTCTCTCTCAGGTGCTTAGAATTCTGATGTTATGATTGGTTAGTTTGGCCACTCTGCCCGGCTCAAAAGGAGGCCTCCTAGAGACAGAAGTCTCTCTCTCTGACCTCTGGCTGAGGAAGACATGTTGCTGAGAGAAAGAGACACCGAGAGACATGCACTGCTGAGAAAGAGACACTGAGAGACATTCATTTCTGGGAGAAAGACTGAGAGAGACTGTTGGGTGAGAGACGGCAGGCTGGGAGAGAGACTGAACGCTGTTCCTGAACTAGAATTGTAGCCCGGTGCCTCCCTAATAAACCCCATAATCTGTGAGTTCTGTGTGGCCACTACAGTAAATTATTGAACCCAGCATTTAGGCTTTGGGTGCTGTGGGAGGAACGGTTGGTGTAAGGGTTGGAGGGAGGCAGCATGTCTTACCTTGTAAGAATAGGCCTTGGGTTACTGATGGTGATCCTGTCTTCCTCTTGTAGGGTTAGAGGAGGTGAGGAGATGTGGCCTCCTTGTCCTTTTAGCATATAGCAAGGATCATGGAACTGGCACAGGACGGGGCAGCATTTTGTTCTGCTGTGCATGGGGTCACTATGAGTCAGAGAAGATTACTTGATAGCTCCTAACAACAATGTTGTCTGCCTGTTTATTATTTGGCTGAAAGTGAGCCACTGGGGTGAGTTCAGTTCCAGGCCTAAAAGGTGTCTAAGGGCCATAGTCCTACAAGTTCTACCAGTCTCTCTCAGACCAATAAGCCTGATCTTTATTATTATTTTGAGTTTTGTTCCCATTTTTCTCCTACTCAATCCAGGACCTTCTATTGTGATCCTTATTTTATTTAATTATTATTATTTTTTATATTTTAAGAGGTTGTTTTACATTCAATGTTACATGTACATTTAGTTTCACTCCCCATTTACCATGTCCAACCCTAATGTAGTCTTCTCCCCTCCCTACCCTATAACCCTCATCCTTTTAGGAATGGTCAGCAGAGACTCTGGTAAGATGGAGGAATAGGCAGACAAGTGACACAGA